AGCCTCGCACAACAGTTCTCTTACTGTCCGTTGCTCCATATGGATCCATCCACCTAGTCAGGGCTCAAACCCACGCCTATCGGAATCAAGCAAGCAGTCCCGTTCATCCGCTCCCTGAGCCAGGCAGTGAGAAAGCTTGCCAGACAGCAATATCAATGGCACGCTATGTGGTTTTACCTGGTTGGAGCCCAGCAGTACGCCAACACACACTCTGGAGGAACCTGGTTATTGGTCGATTGGTGAATTGCTTTCCAGAGATGATACCTCCACCCCCAAAAAAATTTGGTCACTCAACCACAACTGTTTGTTGGACACTGCTATGCACAATTAGCTGTTGAGTTTCACCCAGAAAATATACAGAAAACCCAATTTAATAATGATTGTATTTGATATAGCGCCTTTGATATGTCACAACTTTGAGATATCTCAAAGTGCTTCACAGAATATACTGTAAAGTGAATTGACTGTATATTTTCTGTACAAAATGTGGCAGCCAATTGCGCACAGCAGTGTCCCACAAACAGTCGTGGATTGAGTGACCAATTTATTATTTGTTTTGAAGGAATTAGTTTCCCAGAAAAGCGATCCACCCAAATGGACTTGGTGCACTTGTCCTTTCTGGCACATGTGTTAAGTTATGCAGAATTTACAATATATTCTGTGAAGCGCTTTGAGATATCTCAACGATGTGATAAAGCGCTATATCAAATGCAGGGTTTATTATTATATATTTTTCTGGACCTAAAAGTGATATAAACCAGAAAATTCTCAAAATGTTAATCAGAGTATGTTAATCAACATCCGCCTTAGGAGAGAAGGCCACCAGGTGTTAACTCAACATGGCCTTTCTTCGTGCATGAAGTGTCAGCATCACAGATGAACCAAATCCTATGCTCACTCACTGTTTAGACCAAGGGTGGGCAAAAGACAGCCCGTGGGCCATATCCGGCCCGCCAAATTATGCTATCCGGCCCGTCATTGTGTCTAGCAATAGAAAAAATTATAGTTTGTTTAGTCCCAGAAAGTCGCACAAATTTCGCATTTGAATCAGACCGGGAACATCAGCCAATCACACCACTTAGTTGTGCGCACACTCCCTTAAGTGTTGAATCAGGCTGACCTCAGAAATATACGGATTGGCAAATTTTCAAATGCGCGTGGCAACCACAGCAATACTTTTGACTGAAGAAATGTTAATTCGAAATGAGTTTATCAAAGACATGGAAAGTGGAAGCTGAAGGCCAGATATTCAACAAAGAATGGACTTCTAAATTTTTTATACCAGCTTGGGTGGAAAATAAAACAAATAAAATAAAGAAAATAAAAATAAATTAAAGAATAAAACAAAGAAAATAAAAACAATGTACAGTTACAAAATAAAGTAAGCAATTTTGCATGTTTTTCACTGGCACTCGTTAAAAGTTGTGATGTCAAAGACACAGTCCAGTTGATAATTTTTATTCAAGGTAACACCAAACATTTTGAGCTCACAGAAGAATTGGCATCAATGTAGTTAATGAAAGATAGGACAACTGGAGAAGACTTTTTGGAGGCAGTAAATAAGTGTATCTTAAAATTAGGAGTGGAGAAAAATGGTGAATATGACCATCGATGGAAGCCCAAATCTGACGGGCAAAAATGTTGGATTACTGAAAAGAATTCAAGATCCAGTCAAAGAAACAAATCCAGAACAGAATATTGTTTTTCTACACTGCATTATGCACTGAGAGATCCTCAGTAAGAGTGTTCTAAAACTAAGCAATGTCGTGGACACAGTTACGAAAGTGGTCAACTACATTCAGACAAGAGGATTTAACCACAGGCAATTTGTAACTCTGCTTGAGGAATTGCAATCTGAGCACATGGATGTTCTGTATCACACGAATGTAAGATGGCTTAGTTTAGGAAAGGTCTTGAAAAGAGTGTGGGAACTGAGAGCAGAGACTGATTTATTTTTGGACATGAAACAAAAAGATTCGGATTTCCCACAGCTGAACGATACGAATTGGCTCTCGGATTTCGCATTTGCCGTTGATATCATGGGCCACATGAATGAAATGAATTCAAAACTGCAACAGAAGGGGGCCTTTGTGCACGATTTGTATTGCAGTGTCAAGTCATTTATGACAATTATTTATTTTATCGCGTCAGATAGGAAACAGGCAGTTCGTCCCCTTTCCAACTTTGCAGCAAATTACTGTTTGCGATCAAATCCTTAAAAAGTATACTTCGTCACTACTTGACCTAAATGCCGAATTTTCTCGCCAATTCCAGGATTTCAATTTGATTGAAAATGACCTGTCTTTGGTCTCTTCACCTTTCTCATTTGATGTTGACAAAGCCCCATTTGACCTCCAACTCGAGCTTATTGACCTGCAATGTGATCCATTGCTTGCGGAGCAATTCAAATCAGTGCCGCTTCCCAGTTTTTACACCTCATGTTTGGATCAACATACATATGCGAGAAGACATTTTCTGTGATGAAATTCAATAAATCAAAACATAGATCTGTGATAACTGATGACCACCTTACAGCAGTGCTCCGCATTGCAACAACGGAGACAGTGCCTGACTTTAATTGTCTGGTTAATGCACAACAGCGCTTTCATTCTTCCCATTGAGTGAGCTTCTCACATTCTCATCAATATGTGAATAAATGAATAAATATCGAATAAATGTCTGCTCAATGAATTGTTTTTATTTAACCTAATTTTAATGAATGTCAATTATATAGACTTTATTTTATGCATGTACAAGTGTAAGACTTGATTTTGAGCTATTATTAAGCATTTGCATCTAATATTAAGTGTGTGACCCGCAAAGCTTACCAAAACTTGTGAAGTGGCCCGCCAGCCAAATTAATTGCTCACCCCTAGTTTAGACGCTTGAATCTTCCAGCCATCAGGAAAGGTTAATGCAATTTTATCTTGAACAATTGCTTAAGTATCAGTAACTACAATATATTTTGCCGTTATATAACAATATATTTTGTTTGTTTTCCCTGACGTGTTCCCAAACTCGGATTTGGGGAGGTAAATGGGGTATTTTGGTTGGCAACAGAAAGTCGGAATCAAGTCAACTCTTTTTGGCAGGCTCAGTGACTGGTTTCTGAGTCAACCAGGTGAGCAGTCATCCAAAGTACTGCGAATAACAGACTCATAAGCAGGATTTGGATGGGCAGATTGGGAGACCTTCTGGAAACAATGATTCTTCCCCTCTGCATCTGTTAAATCTGCAAGCCACTGCCTTAATGGGTAGGGTGCTCTGAGTGTGACAAACAGCAGGAAGCTTGCCAGCAGGGCTTTAATGGCAAGCTATTTAGTTTTAGCTGGTAAATTCCAGCAACAACAACAAGATTTCATTTAAGAGCGCCTTTCACGTCGGGAGGACGTCCCAAGGCACTGGACAGTTGGGTCAGGACCCGAGCATTGGGGGGAAATGGTCAGGGTGAGGGGAGGGAAGGGAGAGAGCGAGGAGGGGGTAGAGAGTCAAGAGAGGAGCTGAAGGCATGGTCAAAGAGAAAGGTCTCAGCAGTACCATAACACATATTCCGGGGTTCAACAACAACAACTTGCAATTATGTAGCATCCTCCACACAGTGGCGGAGCCTGACTCCAAGCCGGGGAGAGGAGGCTGTAAGCACGGTCGGAGAGGAAAGTTTTCAGGCAGGATCTGAAAGAGGGAGAGAGGGAGCAAGGCGGAAGGATTGAGGGAGAGTGTTCCAGAGAATTGCGGTGTAGTGGCTGAAAGCACAACCTCGTTGATGGGATTGAGGGTGAAAGGGAAGAGCAGGAGGCCAGTGCCAGTCAGTCGGAGGCGTTGGGTGGTAGATTGGGCAGTGAGAAGGTCGGAAAGTTAGGGAGGTGTCAGGGACTGAATGGATCTGAAGGTTCCCAAGTCTTGGCTCTCACCAGCCTGTGCCTCATACTTTCCGGAATTACAACGACAACAAAATTACATTTCTATAGCGGCTTTCACATCAGGAGGACGCCCCAAGGTGCTGGACAGAGAGTTTCAGACCCGAGCTGGGGGTTGGGGTTGGGGAGTGTAGAGGGCCGGGAGAAGCAGGGAGATCGAAAGCACAGACGAAGAGGAGGGTCTTGAGATGGGTCTTGAAGGAGGGCAAGAGAGGGAGCAAGGTGGAGGGACTGTGGGATAATTAGGTAAGTAGGTACATCTTTCCATGGAGAGTGTGTTCATTCAATTCCAAACATAGGGAAATTTACAATACAAGTAAAAATGGTGATTGGTTTCCACTTGTGTCAGATACCCGGCTGAACAAAAATAAATTCTTATGGGGTAACACTTGATTCAAGTGGAGCGGATGTGAGCACTCTTCAATTTCAGATTGGCTGAACCTGTTTGCTCCGAGTGACTGACATACTTGTTAATTGTCCAAGTTCCCTTTGTCCCCATTGACCTGCTTTGTGATTGTTTGGTCCTGCGGTCAATCGTCTGTTTGTGCACAAATTGCGCGATCGCCCACAAACACACAGTTACCCCCACTTTACAGGTTTGTTCTGCAAAACGCTTTGAGATGTCCTCCAGATATTAAAGAGAATGGGCTAAATACAAGGAATATTATTAGTAACAATCACCCTGGGCTGCTGTTGGGTCTCTTGGAGCTGTCAATCTCAGAATACAACACAAACCAAGGGGGTGAGGCGGTGTCTTCTCCGCGAGCTCTGATTGGTGAACGTTATTTTCAATCACAAAGTAACCTGATGATTGATTGGCGCTGCTGTCAATCACTGCGAAAGGCGCGATCTGATTGATCAATAGTGCTGTCAGTCACTGTCAATCGTGCGAGATGATTGGTAGACGGGCCGTCAATCACGGCGAGAGGCGTGATCTGAGTGGTTGACGAAACTTTCTGGTCCCTTTGTTATTGAGTGGCTGCGCTGGATATGGATTGGTTTCAGGGCCCGTCCGTCAGACGAGGCGGCGGAGTTTCCGGCGGAGGGCGGACCGCCTGCGGGTTTGTTCTCTCCCCGGTGTGTGTGTGTGCGCGCGCGCGAGGGCACTAAAGTTTACAAGATGGCGGCGGCGCCGGTGTACTGTCTCTGCCAACAGCCTTACGATGTCAACCGCTTCATGATCGAATGCGATGTCTGCAAGGACTGGTTCCACGGCAGGTGAGCGAGCGGCTTCCCTCTGCCTCTCCCTCGCGGGCGGCGGAGAATTTAAAACGGTCTCTTTTTGTCTCTCTCTTTACTTCCGAACCGGGTCCCTGTCAGGAAAGGGACTCCTTCCCCAACCGTCCAGCCTCGCGCAGCCGCCCGCCCGCGGGAGCACTGAGCAGCGGCAGCAGCAGCAGCGTGTGCCGAGGGGCCGGAGATTCTTTGTGTGTGTGTGTGTGTGTGTGTGGTGTGCGCGCGCCGGGCCTGTGCCTTTCTTTCACTTGTGTTTGTTGTGGTTGACGCGCACGGTGCCGGCTATTTAAATCCCCTTCGATAACAACAAAAACGTCTCCGCAGCGCCCCGTAGCGGGGAAACACCCGCAACTGCAACAACAACAACAGGGGGCATTGTTCCCAGCTGCTGCCCCGGGGGGGGGGGGGGGGGGGGACAAGGAGCCTGACACGGTTATCAGGTTTCATCCGTGTCTGCTCCAGAAGCAACTTCAGGGGCTTTTAGCGTCAGGGAGTACTGGTGTCAGTGTCCCTTGTGCACACACGCTGGTTTGCGGCAGGGAGTTAAAAGCTTGTGGTTGTCAGCTGCAAAGGCATTGTCCTGAATGCTGAAGAAACCCGATCTGGAATATTTTTTAACTGAAGATTGCAAGATGTCATTTGCGTCAATGTTTGTTTAAGGATCAAGGTTCGCTGGTGTATAGATGTACCAACATTTATTCTGTGGGTATGGAATGACATGGGGGGAGGGCGGTGAAGAAGCTAAACTATAGTCAAAGACTGGTTAGATTGCGGATGTATTCTGCAGATGAGATGTCTGGGTGTAATTTGATCAAAGGGATTATAATTTTGAAAGATAGATAAAACAAGAGTGAGCAACTTTCTTTTTTGCCTTGGTGGGTCCATTAGATGTGAGTCGACATTGAATCATAAGATGAAAAATCCGGAGAGGGATTTGAGAGAGATTAAAGAAAGATATAAAGTGATATGACGCAAAACTAGTTGGGTCAGAGGAGGCAGATTTATTGCCATGGAATTGTCTGAGACATAGTGGCTCAATGGGCTGAATGGCATTTTCTTGTTCTTTGTTTTGTATGTTCATCTTAGAACATATATTGTTTAATATCACAAATTGCTGTCATTTAATAATAATTCTTAAAGTTGATAGAATGCTTTTCACTTTAGAGGGCATATCAAAGTGCTTCAGGATGTACTGTGAAGTGTTGTGAGTATAGTTTTGTAGATGAACGCAGAAAGAGTTAGCACACAGCAATGCCCCACAAACAGCCATTGAGTGCGTTACCAATTTTATTTGGGGGTTTGTTGGCCCAGAAAACAAGAGAAACTACATTCTCTTTTTTAACATCCACCTGAAACGGGAGCTCAGATTAACATCTAATTTTAAGTACAGCATCTCCGACAATGCATCATACCCAAGCGATGCAGCAAACGCGCAGCACTGCTTTGGAGTGTCAAACTAGATTATGTTTGTTCCAAGTCTCGGCTTGAACCGACAACCTTCTTCCCCAGAGACAAGAGTGCAACCAGGCTGAATTTCCAATCTGTTTGTATGAAAATTCATATTTGGTATTGTTTATAACAAGGTTTTGGAACATGATTAAATATTAGAGATGAAAATGCTTGACTGTAGAAACATACTACAGATATACAGGACAAAAGACCACTGTCGTCCATCTGACTACAAATTAAAATAATTTTCAATTATTGTCCATGTGACTCAGACCTTCAATTAATTCCATGTTAAATAGCTGTCTGTTGCTCTTGACACAATATGCTTCACTGCATGCAAGGTTGTCTGTCTATTATACAATATATGTATAATATTATTATTATTAGATGTTCACCATTTTCTATAAAGTAATTGAATCTGAACTGTCTGCTTGTCTTGCACTTTCTGAGTTGTCATTAATTTGGACTCAAGATTTCTGGAAGAGGGGTTGTACTTGGTTTCCCCAAGTATTTGTTGTATTATGACAGTAAGGGGCAGCCCTTAATGATGAATCATTCTATTGATTTATGTGCTGACAGAATGGAATTTATGTCCTTTGAGTTTAACTAACTTTAGAATGACATTTAGTATGAATTACTTAAAACCCACATAATCCGGTGATGATGCAAAATATAATGTGAACATTTGGATGAATACTTAAGATGATATGAGTTGGCATGTCTGGGGAATTTGGAGGTGTTGGTATGTTGTTGCAAGATCGTGTAGATGCTTTAAGAATGGAGGTAATGAGCAATATGATTCATTGCATCGCTGATTTTAAGATGATTAAGAGGATTTTCCAAAATGTGTGACCTCCTGTAACTTTTCAATATCCAGGCCACTCTTTCAACAAACTTGTTTCATGACCCCATTACCCTATATTCTGCCTCCAGCTGTCTAGCTTGCCTCCTAATTTCTCACCTTCAGAGCCCATCTTGATATTTTTTCAACGTACTTTTGGTCACATTTCCTCTCACCTTCGTTAACCCTGCCCTTCCCCCATCCACCTTTGGTTGCCAGTCAACTGTTTGAACCATTTTGCCGATCTCCTAACATGAAAAGTCTATATAAATGTAAACTTGTTGATTTAGGAGCCACAAGGTTGCCATAGATTTTGGAGCCTTTGACCTAGTACCTTGTGTTTCAATCTACCAGCAATCAGAGTTAGTTGATTTAGTTGGAGTTAGTTGGAGTCCTGTAGCTCAGTGGTTAGAGCACTCGCTTTGCAAGCGAGACACCTGAGTTCAATTCCAGGCAGGTCAGGGCGAAACCTTGGGCAAGTTTCCTTACTCCACACAGAGCCTAATAATAATCCCTCCAAAAACCAAAAATAATAATAAATTGGTCATTTTCAATCTACGACTGTTTGTGGGACATTGCTGTGCGCAATTGGCTGCCGCGTTCGCCCACAAATATACAGTCAATTCACTTTGCAGTGTGTTCTGTGAAGCGCTTTGGGACGTCCTCCCGACGTGAAAAGCGCTATATCAAATGCAAGGATTATTATTATTATTATTATTAGTTAGGGAGTAGTCTAAACCCATTTCTTTGTAGGCGTGAATCTGCAGCACAAAACTGCATTTGACAATGATCTGCAAGCTTCTTCCCAAGTTGGGTTGGTGTGGGAAAGGGAACGGTTATCAGGATGAGGTTCAAGGGATAAGTTTGTGAAACTGCAATGAATTTCATGTTTAGACTAATAAAACTGTTAGGTTTTTATCTTCTGATCAGCAGGGTGGATATGTTTTGCTAAGTTTTAAACCCCTGATTGTCCTGAATCCAAAACTCTGTGAAGGGTGTTATACATGTGTAATTTGTTGTTGTCGTTTACATGCTCTGAAAGAAGAATTCAATATGGTTTGTTGTGCAGAGTGCATTGTGCAGCACTGATCACTGGCATACCATTGCAAATTACATTGCAGTACATGTAATTCAGAACTACAAATTCTTTCTGATACATTCTGTTATTATCTGTTACATTATCTGAAACACCATAACCCCATCAAACAGTCCTTGCCAGGCTCCACTGGCTCCCAATCACCAAACGGATTGACTTTTAGATCCTCTGACCCGTTTTCAAATCACTTCATTCCCTCGCATCTCCCTACCTATTCAACCTGCTTTCCCCCCACTCCACCACATGCTGCCTCCGCTCAGCTGGCTCCGGCCTCCTATTTGTCCCTCGTGCCCTCTGTTCCACCATCAGTGGCCAAGCTTTCAGCCACTATGCCCCCAAACTGTCTCCCTTAACCCCACCGACTTGCCCCCTTTCTCCCTCCTTCAAATCCAACCTAAAGACCTTACTTTTTGATTGTGGTTACGATCACCTCCCCCCTCCCTCTCCCCGTGGCTCGTTATCAGACTTCGCCACTCTGAGGCACTCCGGGACACTACTCCATGTGAAGGGTGCTATATAAATGCAAGTTATTGGTGGTGGTGTTTCAATCTTGTATTATGGTAATGACTTTAAAGGCAAATTCAAAATTGGATCCCGCGTTTGTTGTGAATTGGGAGCACTTTGCACATGAGTGAATTTGGCTAAGTTTTGAGCTGCTGTTCTACAAAATGTGCGACGCATATATTAGACCTGAGGCACTTGGTGATGCTGTGTACTCCTTTACTGAACATGACCTGTGATAGACCTTCGGGAGCCTACCTCTAACCCACTAAGTGCTTGATAGCATAAAGTGAACGGAGCTTTATCAGTATCTAACCTTTGGTAAATTTGGAGTGCAGGATGCTTTACTGTGTATCTTTGCTATGTTGTTTGTACTTGGGAAAGAAGTGCAGCGGCATTTTTATCTTGCACATTAGGTTCATTTGTATTTTTGACATAATGGTACTTAATGTCAACAAGAGGGGAAAGCATTTTGTTAACCAGCATTCACATCCTTCCTCCTCCCAACAATAAAACTGTTTGATTTAATGGCAATGGGCCATCTGTCTGTCTATTATTATTGGATCTTTTATGTTTCTGCTGCAGCACTGTACTATATAATTTCACATACGTTTCTGCAACTAAGCTTGGTAATGCTCACTCCCCTTTAATGCAAGTTCTTCCTCTAAACCAGTCTATTTCCAAATACCCACTGGATCTTGCAATATCTTTGTATACTGTGTGTTTCATGGAGGAGGTTTGTCAAGTCCAAAAATATTAATTTAAGATGTCAGCTTGGCTCAGTTGATAGCACTCTCTCCACTGAGTCAGAAAGTTGTAAGTTCAAACCCTACTTGGGGACTTTGAATTGATAGTCCAGGTTGACGTTCGAATATAGTGTTGTCGGAGTGTTGCATTGTTGAAAGTTTTATCTTGCAGATGAATTTTGTTTTTCCAAATTCCTGGTAGACGTTAAAAATCCCACGACAATAATGGACAAGAAAAGGGAATTTTTCCAAGTGTCCTTGCCAATAAACCTCTTGATAAAATTGATCATTCACTTTATTGTTAATTATGCACATTGACTACAGTGTTGGTTTACAAATACAGTCTTGT